GCCCCTCCTTTCCTTCTTCTTCCTTCTTCTTTTTTCTTCTTTTCAAATTCGGGGGATTTGGGGGAGGGCTTTTTCGAGCTACCAATCAAGATTGATTTTACTTAAACAAAAAGACAATGTGACATAAGTATGTAACATAACCATGTGGTACATAAACACATTGACAAACTATGGTATAAGAATTAGTCATGTTGAGTGAAGGATTAGATTTCTTACCAGTACTTAATTAAGCCATCCCAGCCACAAGTTGCAACTATACTTTGTTCAAATGGATGCCGCTCACAACCAATGCATACCCTTTCAAGACACTTGAGAGTTCTAAAGACTTTGCAACTCTTCCAGTCCCAAAACCAGCATTTACCCTCGCCATCTCTCGACATGACAAAACTACCATCCGGTGAAAAATTGACTTGGCAAGCATATCCAACCACTATGTGCCCCGCAAACCTTTTCTTCTTATTAAGCTGAAATTTTCCCTAGTGTTGTAGATAAGAATCTGATTGTCCAACCTCTGTGCTGCTAGCCAGTTTGTGTTAGGGTGAAGGGATATGGCTGGCATAGAATGCATGTGAGGCTCGCTGATATACTTTATAACCACAGGAATCCCAAATTCCCAAACCCGAAGAGACTTGTCAGCACTAGATGTGACAAACCTTCTGTTGTTGTCTACAAATGTGATTGTATTAACCGCTCCCAAATGTTGATCATACTCTTGAGTAATTTGCCCAGTATTCATATCCCACTGAACAACCTTCTTGTCACTCATGCCTGTTAAAAGAATGTTCTGCTTATCCTCATCCGGGTTCAGCCTAACCACATAAGGTATCTTCCCTGTTGAGAATGCCGATATCACCTGTCCTGTTTCTGTGTCCCAGTATTTAATGTTCTTATCATACCCAGCAGTCAAAAACTTAGTTCCATCATTGCGAAACCAAATATCACGAGCTGCCTTGGAATGTCCCATGTAAGTCCTCATACATTTACCTGAATTAAACACATCCCATATCTTCACCTTCGTATCCATTCCCGCCAATACAATCAAATGCCCGTGCTTGGGGAAAAACCAAATTGCAGACACACCTTTGGTGTGCCCACTCCAAGTATGCACCAATCTCTTCGGAATATAACAATGATCATTCGTAGCCTTAGCATCCTTGGGCGCAGCAATCCAAGACCTACCCTGATAATCCCTCTCCTCATTCCCATGAAATGTACTCTTTTCTTTTTTTTTCTTTTTTTTTTGATCGGCAACAAGAAGACTTTATTGATGGAATAAAACCAGTACATAGTACAAAACGAATTACATCAATAAAGACAAAAGGGAGATGCAAAGGCATCACAATGGGCTAGATCATTCCAACGAGGTACTATGTACTGGTATAAAGACAAAAGGGAGGTGCAAACGAATTACATCAATGAAATGTACTCTTATCAGCAACAAACTCACCCTTTTCACTATTCCCACTCTTCTCTTCACCCTTCTTCTTCGCATACTCCTCAGCATACTTCTTCTGCTCCTCTGTCAACTCCACTTGCAACCCTTCCTTCTTTCCCGCCCACGGACTCTTTTGATTCTTCAACAACCAAGTCTCCGAAGCCAGGTTATCAACCTCAACACCACCACCACCACCACCTTCCTCTTCATTCTCCACACTCTCTTCATTCTTCTCAAGTTTCCTCTTTTTATGTTCATGTTGAGGTATATTATACACAGAAATCCCATCAGTTTCCTTCAATCTATCCAAATCACCAACATAATTGTTTCCCTCGGGATCAACTGCCTACCCATATTTATGAAAAGTATTGTACTGTTCATCAAAAACAAAGGGTTCAATCGCAGCATTCTCTACAAACCCTAGCTTATGATTGCGCATACCTTGAGCAATACCGTCGTTGGCGTAGGGATGTGAAGGACCATAGATTGGTGCCCAGAGCTGATCGTAGGTGGGGTTGAAGACTACGACGTGTTGGGAAGGATCGAGGGGCTTGGTTAGGGCTCGATTGGAGTCGACGATTGTAAGAGCGAGCATTGTGTCGTCGACTTTGGGGGCGAAGGATTTGGAAGGGAGGGATATCCATGAGTCCGGCGACGATGAGTGGTCGGAGCGAGGGTTTTGAAATTGTTGATTTTCGTCGTCTTCCATGTCGGTGTCTACGTATGACTGTAGAAGATCCACGGTGACACCGTTGGAGCTCAGGGGAAGAGGGAGAGAGAGAGAGAGAGATAGTCATTGGCGTAGGGATGTGAAGGACCATAGATTGGTGCCCAGAGCTGATCGTAGGTGGGGTTGAAGACTACGACGTGTTGGGAAGGATCGAGGGGCTTGGTTAGGGCTCGATTGGAGTCGACGATTGTAAGAGCGAGCATTGTGTCGTCGACTTTGGGGGCGAAGGATTTGGAAGGGAGGGATATCCATGAGTCCGGCGACGATGAGTGGTCGGAGCAAGGGTTTTGAAATTGTTGATTGTCGTCGTCTTCCATGTCGGTGTCTGCGTATGACTATAGAAGATCCACGGTGACACCGTTTGAGCTCAGGGGAAGGGGGAGAGAGAGAGAGAGATAGTCATGAACGAACTTTGCTTGTTCGATCCCCAAAAAAACCACTCTCCTTTTTTTTAACTTATATTTTAAAAAATAAGTTATTGAAAAAAAAAATTAAAAATTAAAAATTTATTTGGTTATAAATTTTAAAAATAATTTTAAGCTGATTTATAATTTATTTATTTTTTTAATTGAATAGATGAATGTAAGAGAAAATTTGATTAATTGATTTGTAAAATGTGAGAGAATGAATAGATGGGAGGGAAAAAAAATGAATAATTGATTTATTAATAATAAAAGATAAAAAATAAAATAAAAAAAAGGATAGAGAAGAGAGAAAACTGAGTTTTGAGTTGTATTTTAAAAATTTATTAACCAAACAATTTTTTTTTTAATTTTTTTATCCAAATCATGTTTTTAGGAATAGATTATTTTAATTGACTTTTTAATTTTTTTGATTATTTTAATTTGGTTTAAATTTTGGATGATAAGTTTTTTTTTAGTTGATTTGATAGTTGTGAAAGAAAAAAAAAATAATTATAATTTAAATATAATATTTTATCTTATTAATTATTTTAATATATTTTATTTTTATTAACCATTTTAACCTCCAACCCAACTTTCTAAACATCCCCATGTGATCCCAAAAAAAATATTTGCATGCTCTTCTATTTTTTTCTAGATGAATAAAAAATAAATTTAAAAAATTAAAAATCAGTTCGATTCAAACCAAATCATGACTTGATTTGATTTTTTCAATATACAATTGGATTTTATTTTTAAAATAGATGAATTATATTTTTCAATTCAATTCATGGATTATAACCATCCTAAATTTATCTCTTCTCTAGTAGGAGTCCTCTCTTGTCATGTACAAGGATAACTCTCCTGGTGTGGGGGTTCTTTGATTACGAGTGTGGGTAGGAAGTTCTAGATCGTACTAATGGCAGACTCTCTCTCTGATCTGGCGAGGAGACTCGTATTAACGGAGGAGGAGGAGGAAGTGGAAGTCGCGGTGGAGGATGCCCATCTTCAACCCACGGAGGCGAAAGCAGGGCTTTGTCTGGTGGGTGAACTTCTTACTACGCGCCCATTCAATTTTGAGGCGCTGCGGACTACATTGACTGCGGTTTGGAGAGCATCTAAAGGGATTGAGTTCAAGACATTGGGTGCTAACTTGTTTTTGATCCAGTTTGGTCATATTGTTGATAAGAAGAGAGTGCTGCTAAATGGCCCATGGAATTTTGATAACCAGTTAGTTATGTTGAAAGAGTTTAATGGGGATTTACAACCGCTGGACATCACATTCTCTACTATGGCGTTTTGGGTTCATGTATCTAATCTTCCTCTTATTAGCATGACGCGGGATGTGGGAATTTTGCTGGGCAATCAAATAGGGAGTTTTGTCGATATGGAGTATGGAGATGGTGGTATTGCTTGGGGACGAACTCTCCGCCTTCGGGTAGAGATCAATATTGCCAAACCACTTTGGCGAGGTTTGAAATTGACCTTACCTGGGCGAAAGTCGGTGTGGGTTACGCTCACATATGAGAAGCTCCCAAATTTTTGTTTTCATTGTGGTTTGCTTGGTCACAGTGTTCGTGACTGTGCGAACAAGATATTAGGAGGTGAGAAAGAGGATAGGGCACCGTTGCAGTATGGGACCTGGCTCCGGGCAGAGCCCACACGAGGACGGAATCAAAGGGACCACTATTTTACACAGGGGAGGAGGAGGGAGGATGAGGGGAGCTCCAAAATGGTATTGGAGGATGTGGAGGTGCAACAGCGTGGTCACGAGGAGGGCTCGACTCATAGCTTTGTTCTGGTGACGGCTGAGAACCGGCGATCGGAGCAGGCCACTCTGGGTAAGGTCAAATATAGCAAGGTTCAATCTGCTCCCCCAAACATAGGGATTGCTAGTATTTCGGCGGATTTGGTGACCTCATTGGGCGGTATGGGGGGGTGATCATTCTTTGGCGCCAAGGTCAGATATTCAAATTACGGAGGGCTGGGGTGGGAGGGACTTTGACTTGAATGGGCCTAATATGAGGAAGGGTTTGGAGGTGGGGCATATTGGGAAGATGAGGGAAAGGCTTGAGGGGCCGACGCTTGGGGGCTTGGGGGATCAGGATGGGCCCAAGCATTGTGGGTTGGTAAGGCCAATTGTGGACTCTTTTGTGAGCCCTGAGATTAATATGGGTACATCTTCTAAGGGCCCAATAAAGGTGGGGAAAAAGTGGAAAAAGATGGCACGTAATATTACGCCACCGGTGGAACAGAGGGCGTTACCCGCTGGTTGTACGAAGAAGCCTGTGGGGAAGAGGGAGAGGGGGTTCTGTAATGAGTCCTCGGGTTCTTCCGATGTCCGCAAACGGGTGAAGATTGTTGAGGGTATGCTACAACATGGTTCATCTCTCCAATTAACGGTGGAGGCTGCTGGGCAGCCCCACCGATCACGATGAAATGCCTCAGTTGGAACTGTCGTGGGCTTGGGAACCCGCGAACAGTTCGAAATCTTCAGCTTTTGCTGAAGGAACAAGCGCCTGATATGGTCTTTCTTATGGAGACAAAGTGTGTGTCGAGAAAGATAGAGTGGTTTCGCTGTAAACTTGGTTTGGCTAGGGGTTTGTTTGTCGATAGGATGGGATTGTCTGGGGGGCTAGCATTGTTCTGGAGAATGGGAGTGTCGGTGTCTATTCGTAACTACTCCAGTGGGCATGTCGATGCTGTTGTGGAGTCGGACGGGGGGATTGGAAACTGGCGTTTTACGGGGTTCTATGGTCATCCGGAAGTCGTGAAAAAATGGGATTCGTGGGAGTTACTTCGTCGCTTGGGCGGCTTAGATGATCTACCTTGGTTGGTGGTGGAAGATTTCAACGAGATTTTGTTACCTTCAGAGAAGTTGGGTTTGGGAGACCGAAGCAGAGCCCAGATTGACGCCTTCCAACATGCTCTTTCGGATTGTTCGTTAGCTGATTTGGGATTTTTCGGGCCCTATTTTACGTGGTGCAATAATCGGCCATCTGGGTTGGTACATGAACGATTAGATCGTGGAGTGGCTAATGATGCTTGGCTCGCCATTTTTCCGAAGGCTAGGGTGGTTCATCTCACTTGTACGACGTCGGACCACATGCCAATTCTGGTTGACTTGTTGGGGCCGCAAGTGTGTCCTAGTGGGCAGAGGTGGCGACAACGTATCTATCGTTTTGAGGCAATGTGGCTCCGTGATGGTAGATGTGAGTAGGTGGTCAAAACTAATTGGGTTTGTGCTCAAGAAGGTAGTATGGCTCAAGAGGGAAGTATGGCTGGATTACGACTTACTGTGGAGAAGATGGGTTCTTGCTTAGCCCAGTGAAGGAGGACTACGTTTGGTCATGTCCAACAGTTATTGTGGTCTAAGTTGAATGAGGTGCGGCGCTTGGAGGGTCTGTCCGTGCTCTCTCGGGACGAGTATGGAAAGCGCATGCAGCTATGTAGTGAGATTGATGAACTCTTGGAGAGAGAGGAGACTTTGTGGTGCCAAAGAGCGAGAGCGAATTGGCTGAAAGAAGGTGATCGGAATACTTCTTTCTTCCACTCCAAAGCATTGCAAAGGCATAAGAAGAAGAGGATTGATGGGCTTCAAGATGATCATGATAGATGGTGGTCTACACTGGAAGATTTGGAGCGAATTGTCGTGGGGTATTTTGCGGAGCTGTTTGATGCAGGGCAACAGTGTGATATTGGGGAAGTTTTGGCTTCCATTCACGTTGTCGTTCCACCCGAGAGGAATGTCGAGTTAGCTCGACCATATACCGCAGAGGAGGTGTCATACGCTTTATTTCAGATGCATCCTACGAAAGCCCCGGGCCCGGATGGCAAACCAACGTTATTCTATCAACGGTTTTGGCCGATAGTCGGGGCACAAGTCACACGGGCGGTGTTAGGCGTTCTTAATGAAGGCAAGGCGGTGACGGCTATGAATGACACATTTATTGTGTTAATTCCAAAAGTGAAGTCACCCAAACGGATGTCTCAATTTAGGCCAATAAGCCTTTGTAATGTGGTCTACAAGCTAGTAAGCAAGGTGTTAGCCAATCGAATGAGGAAAATATTACCCGATATTATTTCGATGAACCAAAGTGCTTTTGTGGCGGGGCGGCTCATTAGTGATAATATGCTTGCCTCATTTGAGATATTTCATTTTTTGAAGAATAAAAGGCATGGAAAAGAGGGACATTTTGCCCTAAAGCTCGATATGAGCAAAGCATACGATCGGGTTGAATGGAGTTTCTTACGAGGGGTCATGGAGAGGATGGGTTTCAATCAACTTTTTGTGGATACAATAGTACATTGTATCTCCTCTGTGTCATATTCGGTCCTTGTGAATGGGAGTCCGATAAAGAAATTTGTTCCTACAAGGGGGCTGCGACAAGGGGACCCGCTTTCTCCGTATTTGTTTGTGTTGTGCGCAGAAGGTCTTTCTGCTTTAATTAAAAGAGCTGAAGGAGAGGGTAAGCTTACGGGGGTGGCTGTGTGTCGAGGTAGTCCACGGGTGTCTCATCTTTTATTTGCAGATGATAGCTTGTTGTTTGGAGCTGCGAACATGCAAGAACTAGTGGTGGTTCAAGATATTTTAGGAAAATATGAGTTAGTTTCAGGCCAGAAAATTAATCTTGAGAAATCGGCTATCTGTTTTAGTAAGAATGTGGGGATAGATATTCAAGCGGGGTTACGGAATGCGATGGGGGTTGGTAATTTGGTGGACTCTGGAAAATATCTCGGGTTGCCTTATATTGTGGGCCGCTCTAAACGAGGCATATTTAATTCTGTTAAAGATAGAGTTTGGACTCGGTTGAATGGGTGGAAGGAAATATTTCTATCCGTGGCTGGTAGGGAGATATTGCTTAAATCAGTGGCACAAGCTATCCCAACGTATATTATGTCCTGCTTCCAGTTGCCTGATGGAATTTGTGAGGATATTGATTCTATGGTGCGTAACTATTGGTGGGGTAAGAGGGAGAACAAGCGGAAAATTCATTGGAAAAATTGGCGAACATTGTGTGACCCAAAATAGGTGGGTGGGATGGGGTTTCGTAGCTTGAAGGCCTTTAACAAAGCATTGTTGGCCAAACAGGGGTGGAGGTTGATTTCGGTGCCGGATTCTTTGGTGGCTAGAATTTTGAAGGCTAAGTATTACCCTCACACAACGTTTCTTCAAGCTAATGTTGGGTCGAATCCCTCGTTCACATAGAGGAGCATTTTTAATGCAAGACCGCTTTTGGAAGCCGGGTTGAGATGGCGAGTGGGGGATAGTCGGTCAATTCAGATTTGGGGTGATAAGTGGGTGTCGCGGCCTCATTCTTTTCGGGTTTGTTCACCACCTTCACCACAGTTACAGGGTGTTTTGGTTAGCAACCTCATCGATGAGGATAGGCATTGTTGGGACGTCAATGTATTGCAAGAGAATCTTTTGGAGATGGACGTGGAGGCAATCCGGCAAATCCCTCTTTGCTGTTATGGCATTCCTGATAAGTTGGTTTGGCACTATACGAGGAATGGGCTGTTTTCGGTTCGCCCGGCATATCATTTGCAAATGAATATTAGTGGTCGGGAGGTGCGCAGGTCTGGGTCTGATGTGCAGAATGTGAGTTGGTTTTGGAAGCAAGTATGGAGCCTTCGCATTCCCAATAAGATTAAGGTCTTTGCGTGGAAGTGTTGTTCCAATATTCTACCGGTTAAATCAGTTCTTCGGCAGCGGCATATATTGCAGGAGGATAAGTGTGATGGATGTGGGGATGCAGCAGAAACGGTAATGCACATTTTATGGGAATGTATGAGGGCACGGGAGGTCTGGATTCAAAGTCCGATACCGTTTGTGCTTGATCATGGTGTTGGTGGCGATTTTATGGGATGGGCATATGGTGTTGGACGTCGGACGGATAGTGTCACACTGGGTTTGTTTTTTGCTTTTTGTTGGGGGTTGTGGTCATCGCGGAATCAAGCTCTTTTTAGTAATGCCATTCACTCGGCTGCTGCGACAATTCAGATGGTGTGTGATTTAATGCGAGATTTTGAGCGGGTTCATTGGGGAGATTCTTAAACGTCGGACGGATAGTGTCACACGGGGTTTGTTTTTCGCTCTTTGTTGGGGGTTGTGGTCATCGCGGAATCAAGCTCTTTTTAGTAATGCCATTCACTCGGCTGCCGCGACAGTTCAGATGGTGTGTGATTTAATGCGAGATTTTGAGCGGGTTCATTCCAACATGAGTGGGATTCCAGTGGCTCATGGAGTTGCGAAGTGGAGACCGCCGATTGGGGAGATTCTTAAAGTGAACTTCGATGGGGCCATGTTCATGCGACAGAAGGTCTGTGGGGTAGGGGTGGTGATTCGGGATCTCAATGGCGTTCCTGTTGTAGCTTTATCGAAGCAAATTCCACAATGGATGGAGAGTGATTGTATTGAAGCTATTGCTGCTGTCAAGGCTTTGGATTTTGCAACAGAATTGGGATTAACAAACATTCATTTGGAAGGTGATTCCCTTACTGTGATCAAGGCTATGCGAGAGGATGGTTATCTTAATGCTTCGTTTGGTCATTTTTTACAATATGCCATTGATCGTAGTAAGCAATTTGCGAGCTTCTGTGTTTCGCACACGCGCCGGAGTGGCAATGTAATGGCTCACCATTTGGCTCAAATGGCTAAGGAGGATCCGGAGAAACGGGTTTGGATGGCTGGGGTTCCTGAGCATTTAGTGCAGGTTTTGTTGAGTGATGTTCCTGTTTTGTAGGGGCTCATGACTTCCACTTTCTAAAAAAAAAAATGTTGACATGCATTAATTACACACCACTATTTAATGTTGACATACATTACACACAAAAATTAAACATGTTTCTTTATTAATTGTCATTATGTTTTGGTTGTTTCCATGTATTCAAATGTTGACTATACGTGATAATGTGAATATCCACATTAGATGACGTGAATGTGAATGTTCACATCAGATGACGTGAATGTTCACATTTTAGTGTGAACATTCACGTCATGTTTATATTCAAATGAAAGTTGAAACTTGTAATTGTGTAATTTGATGCAATGCTGATGTAAACATTAACATCATATTTATCACAATGTCATCTGATATGAACATTCACATTCACGTCATCACATACAGTCAACATTTGGATGCATAGGAACTACCAAAAACATAATGACAATCAATGATGCATGAAAACTATAAAAACATAATGACAATTAATAAAAAATCATATTTAATTTTTAGTGTGTAATATATGTCAACATTAAATATTAACTGCATTTTTTTGAAGTGAAGATATAATGACAATCAACATTAAATATCAACATTAATAGGGGTAGGAGAGATTTAGGATATTTTGGTCTTCTTACCTCAAATGAGACTTAATAGAATAGTCAAAATATGAGTTGAATGAAAAAAAACTCTTAAAAAGAGAACTTATCAAAAAGCTCCATTTTTAAATTGCACTTTCTAGATTTGGCATAAGATTATTCCACCATTTTTCACAAGTTATGTTAGGTACTTAAGAATTTTTACTCTAAAATCCTGAATGTGGGTCATCCGCACAAATTATAATTTACCCTAAAATTCAAAATATTTTTCTATTAAAAATTTTGAATACACATTTTACAAGAATTCATACAATAAACATCTATACTATATATTAAGCAAAATGAGAGTTTTTAACCCCAAATCTTGTGAGAGTTTCAATCTCTCAATCTAAATTTTTTGATTTTTTTATTTAAAAAAAAAATCTTAGCATTTACTAGCTTCTCCCACCTCCCAAGTCTTACCATCATAATAACACTTTAATGCATTAAGAACAAGCATAAAAAAAATTCTTTGAAATCCAACACATATGAATTTCTTGAAAAGTCCCAACACATATGATTATTATCCCTCATAATAACACTTTAATGCATTAAGAACAAGCATAAAAAAAATTTATTGAAAAGTCCAACACATATAATTATTATCAAAATATTAAATTTTAATATAATATAATAAAAAAAAGACATTTAATTCTTTGAAAAGTTCAACACATATGATTATTATCAAAATATTAAACTTTAATATAATACAAAAAAAAAATATTTAAAAAAATATTTAAAAATTATAATTTACATATATAAATAATTATTAACATAATTCGTACATTGTACAGCTGATATGCTAGCGTTTTTAAAAAGTAACGGGACTATAAAAGGCCACACAAAAAGTGAAGAAGTGGGATGGAATATTTTCAATAGCATAAAGCATCACTTTTTGAAAATTTCCTCAAATTTTAATAAGTACTGATTCTTAATTGATAAATTATAAGGGAGTTGACAAGAAAAGTGAACATGATTTTATATATATATATATATAGGTGTTGATTGGGAAGTGTTTTTTTGGGGGGTTTTTTTGCTTAAAAAATACTAAAACACAAATTAGTTAAAAAAAATTAAAAAATAAATTTAGACAAAATGTCACATTAAATTCATAATTATTTCACTTTTTTTCTCACAAATATCACATATAATTACAAAAAAATTCAACTATTTTCTCAAATATAAAAATTTTAATCTCTTAAAATAATTAAAAATTAAAAAAATCAACTAAAATAACAACTTCTCCATCACCCACGTAGTAAAGGTCACCTTAATAGCAATTTAAAGGGCTATCAATACGGACCCGAGGGGTGCAAAAATAGTTAAAAGCTCAATACAATTTTTCCACCAGTCAAAATATTTTTTATTTGTTTATATTTTTTTTACAAATTTTAATAAATTTTTTACATACCAATAGATGTTATTGACAACTTTACCGCTTATCATCAACGCATGTTATTGATATCCTAAGAGTATCTTCAAAGGTGAACTAAATTTTTTACAAAATTTGAATAAAAAAAAATTAATTTTCTCAATCTGATATAACTTGCTCCAACCGTGCATCAAAAGGGAAAAGTCGACCGATTGGTCGACCGGTAAGGGTAATTTTTTTTTTTTTTTTTTTTTTTTACCTGTTTGAACTTTTTTGACCAGTTTGAACCCACCTATTTAAAAGGGAACCGGTCGATCGGTTGGTCAACCGGCCAGACAACTAATTGGTTGACCGGTTGGCCCACCCCAACGGTAATGCACAGTGAAATAGTGAAATCTGAAACTTATTCTCACTTTGATAAATTTTTTGTTGTATTCTCATTTTGACACCAATTTAGTGAAACTATTAGAGTTTCAAAAAATGACTATTTTACTAAATTTTAAATCTAATATAAAATTTGATAAATCGTTGGAGATGATCTAAACAATTGTCATTTGCACTTTCTTATATATAAAAGTAGAAACGGAATGAGATTTATTTTATTTTTTTAATATTTTTTAGGTACAACGATGTGGAATTTGTGAGTACAAAAATGTTTTAAAATTCTGATATAGGAGCTCTAATAGCTCTAATGAAAAGATAGGTTCCACCCTGATGTGATGTTTATGCCTTATTTTGTTTTTTTTTTTTTTTTACTTTAACACATCATTAAAACTCAAATTAAAATTTTATATTTAAAGTTCTCTATCATTTCCGATTGTGAGTATGGTTGGTTTATATTTTGCTTTGGCTTCCTATCAACCATCTTATCATGTATACGGTCACTTCGTAGTGGGATTACACATCAGATTTATTTTATTTTTTTAATATTTTTTAGGTACAACGATGTGGAATTTGTGAGTGTGGTTGGTTTATATTTTGCTTTGGCTTCATATCAACCATCTTATCATGTATACGGTCACTTCGTAGTGGGATTACACATCATTTAAAGCATCTTCTTCTTTTCCAAATACAATGGACATTTAGGGCTGGTTTAGGATAATTTAAACAGTAATGATTGAGTGTCATAATTTTTATAATTTAATGGTTCGAAATTATTAAAATGATATTGTTTTGAGTATAAAACAATTTTAAAATTGTCAAAACGGTCATTTTGGTAATTTTGAGTTATTTTAACCACAAAATTATAACCCTCAAATATTTTCTTAATTCAAATAAGTGTATTTTTTTATTTTTTATAAAATATGAATTAGGTATGAATTGAATTTGAAGTGATGTGGTAGAGAGGTGATACAATTTAAATAAAATAATGTGACTTAAATAAGATAGTAAGTTTTTAACTTTTTAACTTTTTAATTTTTTTTAAATTAGGACAAATAAAACCTTAATCTTGTGTCAAAATGTCATCATACACAACATCTCACACGTGTTTCTCATATTTGGATTCCAAGCTTCCTTAAAAAGTAAATTCGAATTCCAAGTGCCATCTCTTATAATTCTAAGCATAAAGTAGAATTATGTTATAAGTATTATGAATTATTTAGGCAAAGTTTGGGAAGACTAAATAAGTGCACTTTTTGTGTTTTTAGACTAAAAATTTGAGGTTGAAAATATGAATGTTTGGGTTAACTTTTTGACTTTTTATAGAAAAATATGGAATAAAAAATTATAAAAATTAGTTTGTAGTGGAAAATTAGAATTGGGAATTGTGCAGCCGTAATTGTTGACTTTTGATAAATAGTAATGACTTTTTAACTTTTTGAATAACTTTTTGACTTTTTGGCTTTTTTTAAACTACCCAAACTTGACCTTAGTGTCGCTTTTAACTTTTTAACTTTTTAATTTTTTTTAAATTAGGACAAATAAAACCTTAATCTTGTGTCAAAATGTCATCATACACAACATCTCACACGTGTTTCTCATATTTGGATTCCAAGCTTCCTTAAAAAGTAAATTCGAATTCCAAGTGCCATCTCTTATAATTCTAAGCCTAAAGTAGAATTATGTTATAAGTATTATGAATTATTTAGTGTCGCGGATGTCAATATCTAGCATCACACTATTTATTAGTGTAACATTTACATATATTAGTGTAGGACTCAATTTATTGAATGGTGTAATATTGTTGCATGACATTGAACAATTTTTGTATAAATAAACGGTAGTGCTATATACACCAATTAGTGTACACACTAGTGTATCAATTAGTGTTATTATATTATTAATGACTTTATTTATTATACAAATTATAAATACTCAAAAC